TTGATATTTCGTCCAATGCAAATCCCAAGGGCCACTCAAAATAGAGGATTACTAATTAAGTGGGGTGACAGGAGGAATTAAGAAATGGATATTATGAGGACGTGTAGGATAGAGATATCTGTTGACACTGAACTTAAGTCGAGAAAGATTGTATCTGTTATGGAAGCATCCTCTCCGGAGCCCTTTTCCACAGAGCAACAGTTCTGGAGAAGGCTCTGTCTGAGTGGAACTGGCTTCTTATAATCCGAAAGGGATTGAGATTGTTTTACACTGTGAACATAGCGTGGCGAGTCCCAGGTGTGAAGGTCTGAGTTGGTGTAACTAAGGAATGTAACACGTCCATACATCTGCCATAGCAATAGGATAAAGTGGTGAGACGCCAGCAGGGTGGAGAACAATTCATCACCCTCGAGGCCGCGTAATACTTCATTGTTACTCAGATGTGACTCTTGTAAAGATGAAGTATGGCAGCAGGAGTTTCGGTATTTTCTGGAGCGATACAGGGAGTCGACCATTCTTCGAGCATCTTTTGCGATGGCACGAGCAGGAACATTCCAGTTGAGGTTGGGAGTGAACTTTAAACCCAGTAGGCGCATGAAGCATGGAACCTCTTTGAGTGTATGACGATTTATCAGGATTGGTGCAAGTTTAGGGTCTGTTCAGTGGTGATGAAATGCCATTGGTTTAAACTTGGGTCTATTGTAAGAATTGATCGGGTCTGTAATTATAGGTAAACATTGGTCGGATTTCTTAGTACAGAGGTAAACATTAGTTGCATTTATACTTGGATCTATAGTTAACTATTAGTCGTGTTTAATCTTGAATCGAAACGTAAATATTGGTCGTCTTCATACCACTATCTATAGGTAAACATTAATCAGGTGTATACTTGAATTTATCGGTAAATATTGATCGGACTGATACTTGAATATATGGGTAAACATTGGCCCGATTTATACTTGAGTTTGTATTTATATATTAATCGTCTTTATGCTTGAACCTGTAGGTAAATATTAGTCAGCTTTATTCTGGAGACTATAGGTAAACTTTTGTAGAATATATACTTGAGTCTATAGGTAAACATTTGTTGGGTATGTACTTGTGTCTAAAGGTCAATATTTGGTCGGATTTATAATTGAGTCTGTAGGTCGGGTATCTAATTGAAGCTATAAGTAAACATTGATCAGTTGTATACTTTAGGTCATATGTATACATTGGTCATTTTCATAATTTAGTCGTCAATCATCCAACTGGAAGATTGCGCCTTTTTGGTTTGGGTCTTCCTTCTCTTTATGAGGAACAGTCGGCGTGTTCTTGGCATCACCACCAGAGCAATAACTCATTTCGTAACAGATTAAATGCTTTTCTGGAATCTATGAAAAATCGGTACAGGACTTCCTGTATCTGTATTGCTCGCTCTGATGGGCTTCTGATCATAAAAATAACATTTATTGTTCCGGTGACTTGAACAAGGCCACTAACCCTATTTTCAGATTAATTCTGTTAAGAGCTAGCTCGATGCACTTTAAATCAAACAATCGGCATTTATCTTAGACACCATTGCCTTTTTTATTCATGGAACAAATAATAAAATAAGAACACGTAGACACAAACAACAATGGAAGTGAAGCGAAAAACCTGAATGAGATAAATACATCCAAATATTTTGTGCAGAAATAATTCCGTTCGCGGATAAATTTGTGACATCCAGAAAATATCACCTCTTACAGTTGCATGGATAGACACAGTCATCATATCTGTACAGCTGTGTTAAAAATACAACTTATTTTACTTATTTTATTTGCACTATTTACATGCTGACTATTGTCCTCGTCTTTGTTGTTGTTATTACAACGTTTCGAGCTTTATGCCCACCGGACTTCATCAGTTCCTTGTCGTTCCGAATATCTCGTCTAGTTCTTATTTAGTACTGCTCAGTCATTGCTCAAACCTTTTTCATTGAGTCCAAGAATACACTGACCGGCGTCGTGATTGAACTCACAATTACTATGTTACTAAACGCTAAATAATAACTCTTCATCTTTTGCTGATATTATTTTGAAGAACATCACGTTTCGATTAGCTTACTAGACTTCTTTATTCTCACTCACACTTTATCTCATATAACACACACACGCACACGCATAGGCATATATACACCGTTTATGGAATGAGAGAAGTATCAAGTACGGGATTATAGTGCAGCCATTTTGACCACATTGTTGTACGACTAAGAATCAGGCACCCCATTAGGTCCCATATCAAACAGCTGGATGTCTTCAACAAAAGTTATCACCGCGCGATTTGTGGGTATACCTTTGATGATAAGGGGTCCAATGCTGATCTCGCAAAATGCAACAACGGTGGAATTGAGACGTTCCTGATGCAGTCACAACTTTGCTGGGCTGGTCATGTTGCAAGGGTGATTGATGATAGAATATCTAAGGTTCTCATGTATAGCCAACTTGAGAGTAGACAAAGTCAGTTGGACAGCTATGATAAGGCATAAAGACAAACTAAACACTAACCTCCCAGCTGCCAATGTGCCTCATACTAACTTAAAGTGAGTTGTTCTGGATAAAAATAACTGAAGATATTTGTGCCAAAGTGTTATCAGAAATTTCAAAATCAGTCGTATTGAGAGGCTAAGAGTCGAAAGACAACAGCAAAAAGCTTCAACAAATATTCCTGTTGCTATTTTCCGAGATCTTCGCTGTTGCACAATATGTGGATTTGTATGCAGGTCACTAGCAGGACTGAAATGTCACATAGGACACAAACATAAAAACTAAATGATGTTGTCGGATCCTCATACGTCGAAATCGACGGGAGAGTTCATCTTATATATATAATTGTGTATTTGGGCAGCAATCCCTCTTTTATACAAGTTTCATTAAAGACGACTGACAACATACAGCGATTAAACTTTTTATTTAATTTTTCTTCTGTATGTATAAGTGTTTTTTCTGGATATAATATGTGTAAAAATTATGCAAATTTTCTACATATCCGAGCTATTCTTTTAATCGTTATCAAGAATGATTTTTATTTTTATCTTTACCTGAATGAATTCTTTTTTTTTATGTATGTATCTAGAGACATAGGAATGTTGTATTTTCCAAACACGGTCATCACATTGTAACCATGTTCATAGTTGATGTCATTGAGTGTTGGATTTTTCTTTTTATTTTGGGTGCTTCCATTATTTTATTTTATTTTTTTTTTACATGTGGGTGAGGCTATTATACATGTATTTTCTACAAGTATGTTGCTGATGGAGCCTGGTAGGTTTCCGCATGTATTTAAATGAATCCTAATTGAACTATGACCAGAGAATCAGAGATCAGAAACGAAGTTACTTAACAGACATGGGAATTCATAAATACTATTGGTTCTCTGTAATCTCGACCTTGCAGGTGAGTTGTTGATGTTAGCTCTTTTGATTTTTTATAGTATTTAATTAACTTAATATTCTTGTTCTGGTCGAGTGGGTTGTGTATTCCATTATAATGTTTCTAAGAGAAAAATCATCTTGCTTATTGTTAACGTCTATTTAGATTTTATAGAAAATGTTAATCTTATTCTATTTATTTGTATGTTCAGTATTCCTGTTAGCTATTTTAGAAAGAAATAGTCTAATCTTATGATCGACGAGGTATCTCGGAAAACCGTTGTTAACTAGCGTCTGTTTCACATAATTGAGTTCTTTAAGGAAAAGCGAACAGAAGATTAATTCTCGTGTGCTTGCTTGAGGAAATTTTTTATAGCACGTATTTTATATCTAAGTGGGCATTCACCTATAAAAGAGTTCCTACTAGTATTTTTGTGTAACAAAGAACGTCTACGAATCTGATCTTATGTTTTTTACTCTTTCTCTCTCTCTCTTATATATATATATATATATATATATATATATACATACACAAATGAAAAAAAGAACAGATAGAGTTAAAATCCACTGTTCGTAGCATTTACTTTTAAAAAGTGCTCAATACAAAGTAGAGCAATATATTATTATTATATTTTATTAAAAGATATAATAAAACAATTTGAAATCGCTACACAAAAGCTTTCATGATTCAGTACTATATTTGTATTTCTTCGGGCGAGGATAACTTACCTTAAATAAAAAAATTATTATATATATATATATATATATATATATATATATATATATATATATACATATATATATATACTTCACCAGGATTGTTTGCTAACCAGAGCTAAAAAAACCCTACTATTTTTGCCCTACTATTTTTGCCCTACTATTTTACCTATAACTAGCTTCAGACGAAGATCGAAGGAGTTATCTGTATATAAAATTCCCCCTCATCAATGGAATGTGAAGGGAATGATGATTTGAGTCAGTGTGGGTGGCCTGGTGGGTTCTCGCTCGTTGTAGGGTGGAAAACAATTCATTACCTGCCACACAGCACAAATGCTTTTGAAGTTTGTCGAGACTGGAACTGAAGACTCAGATATGAAAGCAAACTAATTTGTTTTGGTTTGGTTTGGCCCTTATAACAATAAAACATTACCGGAGGTGTCAGGTATTTTCTACAAATGATCGTTTTCAAAATTCAGGATTCGTTTTAAATACAATTTTACTATAAGACTCGCCTCGGACGATGTCAGAATAGACTTTGCACTCAATGTCCTTCAAAACCATCAGAACAGCTACGTGAATCAGCAGGTTGACCAGAAAGATAACCTCCTAGCCACCAGGTGGAGATACACTCTTCACAGGATGTTAGTGGCTGTCCACCGACAGGTAGCCGACCCGGCTGCATTTACGATGTGCAATTTTATTTTATTTTGGGAGATAATACCGGTTTTAGTAAATACAATTGTTATTAATTAATCCATACCTGAGATGAAAACAACAGTTGGATTCATAGCTTTAGCATTTGCGCGTAATGAACCTGACTGGAATTGGAACTCGGTTCTCTAATTAACAATTCAAAGCCATTATCCATTACACCACCCGCACATCCAAGCTTACAACACTTGATATTCTCAAGCGGTCAACCCTCTAGATACTGACTAGGATCGACATTGCTTAAACTTCGGTGATCGTACGGGAACCGGTGTTTCAACTTGATATGGTCTTAAGCACAGGACATATTGAAGCCAATAAAAACAGAGGAAAAAGCGGATAACCTTACCTATATACCTTGTTGGGAGAACAGTGTTTAGGAAAGTTAGTGAAAAGATAAACTTTAGTAAGAGCTGCAAAAAGGCAAACAACTGTGGAGATCTATGATTCGCCATGTTTACCAATTTGTTTCATGAGCGCATATTTTCTTTTCTTTTTAGATACTTTGGTTTATGTATTACTGAGATTGACGACAATATCCATGAAATTATTCATGCATGTAAATATGTATCGACAACGTGTCAACATATGGTTGATTAAATCAATAACTTTACTGAAGATTCAGATAGATTTTCTCTAAAGTATATTTCTTTTCACTTTCCGGTTGATAAGATCTTTCAAGAAATGATGTGATTCAAAGTGCTCGCAACCGTTGGCGCGAGCTGTTTACTATAAGACAAGTTTGCTGAAGCACTTCTTAAATTCTTCGGCTTTTATAGCCATTGACGAAAAATTAGGGATATAAAAAAGGAAAAGCGAAACTTTTCCTAATTTCATAGACAAACAAATTGGAGATTTAAAGAAGGGAGAGCGCGACCCTAAAAAATATCTCCTTTCTCCACAGAATCCGTTTTTTTTTCTCCTTTTTTTTGTTGCTTTCAGTATTATTTGGTCTTTTATAGCCCTCTTTTTCGATGCAGAACTTTTTCCTACATTCAGGTAACTCACATTTTCAGGTCCGTGTTTCGCTACTATCTTTAGCCTGTCTTGCCTTAGGTGTACGTGTGAGTGTTGAATTCGCCAAGCTTTCTTTATTCGCTACGTGTTTTCAGAATATCTGTAGCCAATTTTTTATTCATTTTATTTTATTTTATTATTTGTTTATTTATTTATATATTATTATTATTATTTATTTTATTATTTGTATATTACATATTATATTTATATATATTATTTATATAATATATTATAGTTATATATTATATTTATTTTATTATTATTATTATTATTATTTCATTGTTATTTATATTTATATTTTATTATTTTATTATTTATTTTATTATTTATATCTTATATATGATATTTATATATATATTGTATTATATTTTTATATATTTATTTTATTATTTTATTATTTATTTATTATTATTTATTATTATTTATTTTATTATTTGTGTATTATATATTATATTTATATATATTATTTATATTGTATATTATATTTATATATTATATTTATTTTATTATTTTACTTATTTTATTATATTATTATTTCAGTTTCATTGTTATTTATATTTATATTTATTATTTATTTTATTTTATTATTTATATCATATATTATTTATATATATATTATATTATAATTTATATATATATTTATTTTATTATTTTATTTTTTATTTATTTTATTATTTATCTATTTTATTTTATTTATTTTATCATTTTTAGATTTCATGTTCATCTTAAAATTAATTTCATCACAGACAGTCTGCGCATTCTAGAATTAAAATAAAAGTTTATCTTTATTGCGGCGTCTAAAAAAAGATAATTTTAAATGTACTTATACATAATATTCATGTCTGTCTATATTTCTGAGATGAGGTATTATGTACAGTATTTACATTAGTCGGACTATTGTCCTCATCTTTGTGGCCATATTTGTCACAACGTTGTACGCTCCGGCCTTCTTCAGGTGGTTGAATTTAACCCTTTATTTCGATCACTGGGGTAGACTGTTCTAGTTCCACGTGCCATGTTTGATGGATGCCAGTTATCAGTTATCTCCTGCTAATTTTCCCTCGGACCAGGAATTGAACTCACCTTCTTTGGGTCTGTCACTGGATCTAATCAACGCCTTTATCCACTGTGCCATGTTTCCTTGAGGACATCTGGGTATGAACTTCTGAGTATTATAAACCTAATGTTTTCAGCATCATTTTTACCAGTGCTCATATTGCAATTTTTTGCTGTTATCATTGCATGTCTTTACCAGAGTTCATATTGCAACTTTGTAATCATTGCTTTTCTCTGGCACTCCTTATTACTGGTTCCCATATTGTATTTGTAGAGACAGGCCGCCCTCTCAAGGTAAGGCTTCAAAAACACCAGAAAGCTGTAACACGAGGGAAAGTAGAAAAATCAGGCGTGGCTAACCACATATGGAGAGAGAAGGGAGATCACCGCCCCCCTGTGGGATCATGTTGAGATCATAGACAGGGAACACCATTGGAAAATTCGTAAACTTAAGGAATCAGCACATATGATAGGCCACAAAAATCTCCTGAGCCGACCAAGCATAGAAATAAATACAATATGGATCCGACTAATGTAAATACTGTATAATATTCATGTGTTTGGTAAATGTACCCATTTTACTAATTGTGCTTATAAAAATAACTTAGGATTTTGTAGTTCGACGTTAGGAAATTAATTTTGCAGTTTGTCATTAGGAACTCCATTTTTCAGTTCGTCCTTAAGAAATATATTTTACAGATCATGGTTAGAAAATTAATTTTGCAGTTCGTCGTTACGAATTTCAATTTACCGTTTGTCGTCAGGAGATTCATTTCGCGGTTTGTCGTTGGTAAATTAAATTTTGCCGTTCGTCGTAAGGAAATACATTTTTCAGTTCGTCTACTGCATACCGCTTTGCGTATTACGTCTATCGGACTGTGCATTCGAGAAACCTTAATAAAATAAATATTCTCCCGGGCAGGGAACGAACCTATGAATCCCTATGTAGGAAACACCGCCGTTTGATCTGAAGTGCTTTATCGCTTGGCTACGAAGAACGTCACACTTCAGCAAAGGCTCTATTACCCCATTTTTTTTTTAAGGAAAGCATGTTGTATTTGTGTATTTTCCACATACTTCAGCGATAAACGTTACGCTTCACGCACATCTTGCAAAGTATATCACAGAAAATGACGAAATCCTGATGGGTTATTTACGAAGAGTAACAAAATCTGAGATGGAATTCTCAAAACTGTCGAAATAATTTACAAGAGGAACTTGTTAACTATCACTCTACGGATGGCATCCGTTCAGTATATTTATTTTGATCGGTTGATGCCAGCACAATACAAGGATGTAGGAAAACTCGTATGTTGCACCAATCTGTCCACAGAAGAAGATGTATTTACTTTGAAAAACAGCATTCAAAATTGTGGTTTTCCATCGACTGAAACACTGGCTGCAGATACAGCTGGAGAATATGAAACAGACACTAAGCAGGTCCTATCTACTAAGAGTGATTTAGTTTTGCACAAGACCACGGAAGGATCAAATCAACTAAATTTATCTTTGAGACTTATTTGCAAACCAGTTGTAGACAAGCGCTTTCTCAGGTTAATGATTAAAAATCGCCTCCAGCGAATGAATCGAGGAAATTCCTTCTTCGAACTTCTTGGACTGGCGCTACAGAATCACAAAGAACTGAACACATCACTTGAAGGACTTTCAACAAAAGCAACAAATGGATAAGATCTGTAACTCGATACAACAGAGGACCGTACACAACCAACTCTCCCATTACCCCCCTCGCCCACAAGTGAGACATTCCGCATTGATCCGTTGTAATACAGATAATTTTCAATTTAACAGATCTTGTTTTCTTTCCGCCTCACCGGCAATACATTTTTGTTTTCGTTGGTTACTCTCGCAACCGTGCACAGTATATAACTGTTCTAGTTTAATGGATGCCAGTTATCAGTTATCTCCTGTTAATTCCTCTCTCCAAGTTGTCCGCTGCCTTAGCCGAGTATTGAACTCACACTCTTTGGGTCATGTCATTGGATCTAACTAACGCCTTTATCCACTGTGCCATGTGTCCTTAAGGACAGGACCCAAAGAGCGTGAGTTCTAGAACAGTCTACCCCAGTGATCGAAATAAAGAGTTCAGTTCAGCATTCCTAAAGAAGGCCGGAGCGTATAACGGCCGAAACGTTATAATAAATATGGCGACAAAGATGATTACAATAGTCCGAATAATGTAAATAGTGTACATATTACCTCATCTCAGAAATATAGACAGATACTCATGTAAACTTTCGAAATGAAAATTTTCCTTTTTATTTTATTTTCCAGTTGAAATATTGTTAGCTGTTATTATCATTGTTGATTAGTATTTACATCCATCTTATTTTTAATATTTCATATCATTGAAGCCTCGAGTCGAGAGAGTTCGTGGAATGGAGTGATGAGTTATTGGTTAGATTTTATCCTCTGTGTAATCGTCAAGTACCCGTAGCTTAGCTGCTAAAGGAGATGGTGGGTTTAACCAGACGTGAGTTCCAATATCCATGAGATCTTACAACCCTTCGTTGTACGTCCGCGTTAAGTTATTATTAAAAACCACTAAAAATTTAAGTTAGTGAAATAAAAGGAATAATTCATATTTCGGACACGTTTCACGTGATACAAAATACTACTTTTGATTTGCTTAAAAGGATCAGTTATTTGTTGAAATTTAGGCTTTTTTGCGCATCCATACTTAATCTTTTGCTTTGCCGATGTTCTCACGAAAGCGTTTATGAAAATGTTAAATTCAAAACAGTTTCAACAAATGATTAAAGGCATGCTTTTTTTTTCTCCAGATTTTACTATTTATTTTCAAATAATTTTTTTTCTTTTCGTTCTTTTTTTTTTTAATTTTCTACTACTAATAAAAGCAGTCACTTATTTTTCGGATTCTTCTTACGTGATCATGAATTACTAGTTAGCATCTAAAGTTGTGCATCAAAACTGGGAGCTACCGTAAGCGTTATTCAGAGTAATATTGTTCCGAAAGTAGTGTATTTGAAAACTGCGACAAAACCACGCATATAACACATCGAGCAAAAAACAAAACAAAAAAAAAAAAAAAAATAAATAAAATAAAATAAAAAATAAAAATAAAAGAGTTAGAAAGAAATTGAAAACGAAATCACTTCGACAAAATGGCGTCGAAGTCCTCACGCGACAAATTATGGTTTAAGAATAAGAAGAACGGATAGGAAGCAAATAGGACAACCT